ACGTGCCAGGTTGGAGGCTGCGCGCGAAGACTGAGGGGCACTTCTGCAGGTAGTTAGGTTGTTACCTGGGACTTCAGGTAATTTTTAATAGTCTGGGGCTGGGGCGGGATTCGTGGAGGCTTTTATCACTTTGATTACGAGAAAAATTAAAGAATAAAACATATATAGTGTGAACACCCTAGCGAATGACAGCTGAAACCGAGGTCCCCCTCACACCCTGGGCTCCACTGCAATTCTTAGTTGACATTGATGCACTTGAGAAAGTGTCTTCAAAGAAATGATTAAAAGCCAAGACCTCAGGTTTGCATTGGCTGCTGAACATCAGAGAGCACTTTCTCTTTATTTGGGAGCTTTATTTAGGAGCTTGAACCCAGAGCCTTTGGACTGAGCTGTATTCCCAATTATTTTTAATTAAAATATTTAGACAGGATCTTGCTAAGTCTCCAAGTTGCCCAGGCTGGGCTTGAACCTGCAATCTTCCTGCCTCAGCCTCCCAAAGTGTTGGGTGTTTTTGTATTTATGCCTTTGCAGTCGAGTTCACTATCTAAAATAAGATCTAGATATTTTAAGATAAAAAGTTGTGTTTTAGAAAATATCACACTGTCTCTGTTGCTCAGTGCTCAGATGCACAGAAACATCTATTTACTGTGCACCAGAGCAGTATCCTTGTAGTTGCTACCAACCTTTGTAGTCCTCAGTCACCAGCTATATATTTCTTTAGGAAACCCTTTTTCAGACTTCACACCTGTTGAGGTATTGATTTCCATAACACTTGCTTTCAGCAGAGTCATTACTTTTATTTTTCTTAAATTAATCTTATTTGGAGAGGTCATACATAAATAGGGTGCCTGGGTGAACCAGGCATGGTAGCTCACGCCTGTAATTCACCACTCTGGAGGATTATTGCAAGTTCCAGGCCAGTGTAGGCTGCAGAGTGAGTTAAGGCCAGCCTGAACTCCATAGTGAGATCTTGTCTCAAAAATGAATAGATAAAATGTCTGAAAATGACCTTAGGTAAATGACATAGTTATAAATGTGAACACTATATAACAATTACTGTTATTGCTGAAAATTGAAGGGGATGTAGGATAATGTGGCTAGTTTTTATAGTCTCAGGTTTTAACAGTCTGTTCAACAAACATTGATGGGGCACCCGTTAGTATTTGCCAGATCTTGAGAGGTGTTTTATTCAAGCAAATAATTCGAATTCTACCTTCTAGGGTTCCCTATTAAATAAAAGTCTTTAAAAGATTATAAATGGATGCATGCTGTGTTTATCACAGGGATAGCTGAGAGGATGGCTGAAGGGAGGCAGGGAGGTACTTCAGTACTGTGATTTTCAAATGAAATTTTAAAAAGCATTGATCCCAGTGTGGTGGTGCACACCTATATTCCCAGCACTTGGGGGAATCACTGTGAGTTAGAGGCCAGCCTGGACTACGTAGCAAAACCCTGTCTCAAAAAAGAAAAAAAAAGAAAAGAAGAAAGCATTGAGTTCTTTTTCAAATAAAATGTCGCAGAACCCGAATATATGGATTAAAATGTGTTTTATTACTAAACGTTTATAAATTCAAATTTTTAACTTTAACTTCATATATAAATAAAAAGAAATATAGCCAGCCATGATGGTGCTTATCTATAATCCCAGCAGTCTGGGAGGCCAGCCCAGGAGGATCACAAGTTTGAGCCCAGCCTATTAATTTCAAAATAAAAATAAAAATAATAATATTAAAAAAGGCTAGTGATATTGTTTAGTGAAAGGCGCCGAGTTCAATCCTCATCTCTGCCAAAAAGAAAAAGTGATGGTGGTATGTTGTTGTCTTAGGCTTTGTTTTGAGCTGAAAGGAGGTTTATTGGAAGGATATTGAGTGGCAAAACAATAAATATTAAGTCTACAGAACCAAGTGCAGAAAGTGGGAAGAAACCAGGGAGTCTGGATAGTAACGATATTGGTAAGACCACCAGGAGCTAGTCTACCGAAGATGCCAGGGGTTGCAAGATTCCTAACTCTGTTGTTTTGAGCTTGCAAAATGTTGAATTTGAAATGTAGACAACAGTTGCAATTATAGTAGCTTCAGCGTCCAGCTTCTTTGTGCTGGCGTGTCTTGTTTTGGTTGTATACTATTAAGGTCCTTACCCCACCGCAGAAGTAGAGACAAGTTCAGAGTGGTTTTTAAATGATTCACCTTGAAATCTGGGCCTCTACTTTGATTACAAAGATGACAACAAGAGATTGTGAGGGCCACACTAAATTAACTTAACCTCACATTAACTTGTGGGCCGCTTATAGTGTGTTAAATGTTAGCATTATATCCCTTTTGATGATATAAAATCTATTTTTTGTTGGTTTTTTTTGAAACAGAGTCTCACTATGTAGTCCAGGCTAGCCTTGAACCCATGGCAACCCTCCCACCTCAGCCTCCTGAGTGCTGGGATTACAGGCATGCACCACCATGTCTGGCTAAAATATGTTTTTTAAAAAGTAAAGTGTGAATTAAGCGTGGAGAACCCCTGGTACACAGTATGTCTAAGAAATTCTGGGTAAATAGAATAAAAACCACTGACATAGGATCTGAAAGTATAGTTCAGTAGTAGAGTGTTTGACTAACATATACAGGGATGTGGGTTTATCTCTAGCACCAGAAAAAAAAAAGAAAGAAAATACTGACATAGAGAACCAGATATTAGGTAGACTCATTGCATTTTTTCCATCATGAAACCTTGGGAAAAGGGCTAGAGAACAGAAAATGTCTATTGGAAACTGCTCTCTTGAATAAACCTCATCACAGGTGAGGAAATTACATGCCTCATCCAGGGTTACTGACTCTTTCCCTATCTTTTCTAAGGTAGGAAGTTCTTCCAAAGAGAGCTGTAGATAGTAGACCATTCTTTACTCAAAAGTATTCCATACACTAGAAATATTTGAGAAAATATATCTGACAAGTGCTTGATATCTTGTACATTCTCCTACAAATCATTAAGGAAAAGACATTTGAATGGACCTCACAAAGGAAAATACCTGGACATCTGGGTGTTTAATAAAATGGAAAGTGCTGAATTTGCAATAGTATTGCACAGCTGCCAGAATGGCTAAAGTAGAAAAGACAGAAAACACCAAGTGTTGATGAGGATATGGAACAATTTTGTTTGAAGTAAAGCATTTGGAATTAACAATCACTTTAGAAAAAAATGTTGACATCATATATTTTGACTATTTTGTTTTGCTTTGAGATACACTTTTACTGTTATTTCCCGTCTGGCCTGAGCTTGTAATTGTCCTGCTTCAGCCTCCCAGGCAGCTGGGATTATAGGTGTGCACACAGCATCTGACTTTGACAGTATTTATTATAGCTTATATTCACAAGGCATGAATATCTGCATGCCTTATGATCCAGCCATAGCACCCCTGAGTCTGGACAAAACAAAATATCACATGCTGAGTGGCTTAAGCAATGTAAATTTATTTCTTATAGTTCTAGAATCTGGGAAGTCTTAAAATCAAGGTATGTACTGGTCAACTGGATTTCTGATGAGGGTTTTATTCTTGGCTTTCATTCGCTGCCTTGTTGCTGTGCCCACATGCTAGACATTCTTCTTATAATTCCTGTTGATTTATGGCTCCACTCTATGACTATGTGTAACCTTTATCATCTCACAGGCCCTGTTTCAGAATACAGTTGCACTGAGGGCTAGGGCTTCGACACAGGAATCTGAGTGTGTGGATGAAGGGAAACTCATTAGGTCCATAACAATACCCAACAGTAATTATGTGTGCATGTTCTCCAAAACACTGCACTATTCATAGGTGTGCTACTCATATTTGTAGTATTCACTGTGGAAGTTACATGCCCGTCAATAGAGAAATTGTAGGATATTCATATATGATGGAATACTGTACAGCAATGCAAAAGAGTGATTTATAATCACATATAACACATGAATCGAACAGACAAGTTAAAGCAGAAGAAGCCAGACACAAAAAATGGAAAATAATAGACCAGGGATTTAGCTCAATGGTTCAGCTACCTGCCTTGGAAGCTCCAGGTCCCGAGTTCAATCCCTGGTACTGAAAAAAAAAAGGAAAATACCTACTGTCTGATTTCATTTATATGAGCTATAAAAATAGGCAAAATCTCATCTCTGCCATTAGAAGGGAGGACCGATGCCAGGCATGGTGGCACAGGCCTGTAATCCAGCTCTCAAGAGGCTGAGAAAGGCAGCCTGGGCTATATAGTGAGCTCAAGATCCAATCCTTACTACATAGCAAGACCTTGTCTAAAAAAAAAAAAAAAAAAAAAAAAAAAAAAGAGGGAGGCAGAGAAAGAGGATGAGGAGGAAGAAGAAAAAAGACAGGGCTGTGATTATCACCTTTAGCATGGTGGGGCAAGGAGGTAACCAGTGACAGAAGAAGTATGAGGAGTCTTCTGACACCAGGATTATTCTCTTCATCTACTTCTACTTCTAGTATTCAGCTTGTGAACATCACTTTAGCTGAACACAAGATATGTGCACTTTATGTATGTTATCCTAAAAAATAATAGAAGTTTGGAAAAGACAAAAATGAGTTATACAGACAGTATTATATATTAACATACTCAGTTATTAGTGTTCATTAAGGGTATACAAAGAACATCTCTCTGTGGACCTGATCTTCTACATATATAATATATGTTTATTTGTGTATTTATTTTTGGTACCAGGGATTAAACTCAGGACCTTGCACTTGCGAGGCAAGTGGCTGAACTTGCCTATATGTTTTTTTAATTGAGAGAGGGCTTCCCTATGTTGCCCAGGCTTGAACTTGTGAGTTCAAATAATCCTTCTGCCTCAGCTTCTGAAGCTGAGATAACAGGCATGTGCCACCGTGCCCAGGTCTCATGTTAGTTTTACATTATCATGAGATCCTGATTCACTCACATACTGTAGTATGTCATTATTTGAGGCTTCAATCTCTATCCTTTGTTACTCTTGATCAACAAGAAAAGTGAGTGCATTAAAGTAAGATATTTTGGAGATAGACTGCATTCACATAACTTTTATTATAGTACATGGTTCCTTTTTTAGTTATTACTGTAAA